TATGATTATAAACAAAGACAGTGACACTTCTAGCCTTTTGAATGACAGCCTTCACATTATCCAAATCTCCAAAATCACCCAATATCAAATTCATGCAATGAGTTGCACATGGAGACCAATAAATATGTGGATAAGTCTTATGAATAATCTTACCACATGACTTGTAGTTAGTTGCATTAAAAGATATGCAATTCTCATAGAAGAATTCTGCACAAATCATATGCGCTCTATGAATTGCATCCTGAGTAGCCATTGCACTTTTGATGCCTGGTTGCGACCCATGAGTGGTTCTTGGAGCAAAAAAGTCAACTCCCTTACCTTTCTTCATCAAGTCACTAACATTTTTAGTTGCCTGTGATCTCACTAACTCAACCACATCATCCTCCTTTTCACCAATGATAGGATCATTATATTGCTTCTTCCCATCTTTCTTTTCTTCAAATTCTTTAAGAATATTGGCAAATCTCAGACGCACATCATAGGGAACTTTTGAGCATTTCACAATATTCCCTTTTGAAGAATGAGCAAGATGCTCTTTCATCCGATGAATCCCCCCTCCCTTTTTCTCAATTCCACATAGCATGCATATGAGTGCCTTTACCTTCCCATTATCATCTTTGAGTTCTTGAATGTAATTCCAAGCAGGATCATTCTTTTCCCGACGAGCTTGCCCAGTTGAAGCAGTAGAGCTCGGTGTTGTTGATTGAGTACCACTATCTGGATTTGGAGTACTCATCTACAAAAGAAACATCGAATCAACAAATTTACAATAGTAAATCTAACAAGTAAGCAAAAAAAATTGCTAAATGGGACAGGGAAAGCTCACGACAGAAGCATAAATCATTACAAATTAAATGGGAATCAGCCCACAGAAACAAACTTCTTTAAGACTTCCATACAACTTTCCAACAATTGCACTTAGTAACCATTATTTAAAAATGCAAATGAATGCTCACAACTTTGATCTCAGTCTGCATTCTGCAGCCTCCATGGCTTAGGTTTATGCAACTTAAATTTTGCAACACAACATTGTACTGCATCCAGAGTTTTTCTAAGTTTTGCGACACTAATGAATCAGTACCTGAAAACTTCCCGCCTGCAAGATTAGTTATTGATGATGCCAACTTCCCGCCTAGGAACCTTCAGCCGCGTGATTGGAAAATGCAGGGGGTAATCGATCGAACGGCAGATGCAGCGGCGTTGAGTAGTAATGGTAATGGGAAGGTAGAGTGCAGTCTGAGAAGATGGCGGCAGGGGCTCGCCCAAATCGGAGGTAACGGCGCTGGGGAAGATGGCGATGGCAACAACGACGGATCACAGGCGACGGGGAAGACGACGATGGAGATGGGGAACGACGACGAGGAGGAACGACGGCGATGGAGAGGGGGAACGGCGACGAGGAGGAAGAATTTGGAGTCGGAGCGGCGCTTCCTTGTCTCCACGAAGAAGAAGATTGAAAATTAGGGTTCTGCAGAGTGCAGACAGCCCGACCCCGACCCACCTTCCCCTTTAATTTTCAGTCTTTTTGTTTTTTTTTAATTAAACCAACCGGCCGGATGTAAAAAACCGGACGACCGGCTCGAGCGGTTAACCGCTTCGGCCGCCCCAGAGAACCAGTCCGGCTAAATAACTGATCCGAGCCGGTTTTGTGTCCAGTTGGCAGTTTTGGCGACTCGGCCGGCCGGCTCGGCTCGGCTTTCACAGCACTGATTTTAAACTCCTAATCCAATTAGAAGTATCACTAAAAACCGTTTAAATATACCTAATTGACCATCAATACATCAAGACCAAAGAAATATGAATGAAACACTATCATAACGAATTAAACATATTTCAATAATTTTAAAAAAATAGAACTAAAACAAATGAAAAGTAACTAAGTATATGTAAACTATAAAAGCTACAACATTTAGAAATAAATCTAGAAAATAAATAGGATTATAGGAAGAGAATTACAATTAGTAAATGTAATTAATATGAAACATCTACATAATATTAGAGAATTATAAAGAGATTTAATATAGAAAATTAGACAATATCAGCATGATGTAAGAGAACTAAATATAATATTTTTATATTATTTATATCGAGATAGAATTCATAGGATATATTTGTGTTAGGAAATAATTCAATTATTAGAACACATAATAATAATTGAAAATATTTATAATGATAATAATTTCTAAATTTCTTATAAAAAATTGGTTTGGTATAAAACAGAGTCTTCAAAGAGGATTCCAACTAAACAATAAAAAATAATATTTTTTATAAGTTCTAAGGATTTTTTGCAATAACAAAAAGTAGAAGGACCAATTCTAAAATTTAGAAAACGATATTCCAATAATATTTTTCAACTTTAACGGAAAGCACTTAACAGTAAACTTAAGTGGTACCGGGTGCATATATAATAAAGTCCAGTGGCACGCAATGCCCAATTCTTGCTTAAGTTGTATAGCTGCTCCAATTCTCATACTTTAATGGTACCCGATGTATTTTACCCACAATTTCAACAACCAACACTCCTAAAATCCACCATAAGTTGTGCAATGCAGATGCAATTCCAATCATTAAAATAAAAATCCTAAAATGCAATACTTCCCACAAAGAACTTGAATGCATTTCCAATTTAAATTCTAGGAGCAATCAAACCAATTTAAGTATAGGAAAAATCGATACAACACGAATCGCAAATGGAGTCATTTCGTTTCCAATTTTTGTTTTCTATATTCATAGGGAAAGTAAATGCTGAAAATTATTTAGTTCTATTTTATATGTTGTTGCAATAGGAGCATGGTAACACAACATGAATTAATTGAATTGAGTCAACTCACTTAAATAATTTCTTTATTGTTTTCAAAAGATGTTTCTTGTGGGATCCACTTTTCCCATATTTTCCTCTCTATTTTTGCATAACTCATCCTTAAAACTTTATTGCAAATATTAATTTCATATCTCTCTCTCCATCTCTTTCTCTCTTTCCCTCCCTAATTTCTCATAACTTGTTATGCCACACTATTCCTCCTACTATTTCCTATTTTTGTCTTAGTTTCAACATTGATACTAAACGAGGCGTAAAGAAGTAACAAATCGAGTTTCTGTTTTTGGTTGTCAACTTCCATGATTTCTTATAATTACCAACTAGACGTGTTTCTATTTTCTATTTTCATGTTGTTGTACATTTATTATCACAACCCTACTGCAACCACAATAGCAACAAAGCTGCACTAAACGAGGCCTTAACTTCAATATATTGATAGATTGTGTTGGGGGATGAGGAAAGATGACTCACAGCATCTACATCAATGCAATTGCAAAGCCAATTTGTTGTAGAAAATGATTTGAAATGGATGCTAATAATGACCTTTTGTTTCATATGCATAAGTATTTCAGGGCTACTTTTCCTTGACGATGTAAACACTCGATTGCACCTCTCGTTCCACACAAGAGCTGCTTACCAGCACCACAATACGCCTACCAGTTTGGGAAAAAATCCCAAGTTACACATGTTTTTAAAAAAAATTCTCAAAATACACAAGTTATGAAAATAATTCCCAATCTACGTTAGTTTGGGCCATCACCGCTGTCGACGAAGACAGTGATTGCATCACCGCTGTCGACGAAGACAGTGATTGCATCACTGCAGTACACGGCCGCGGTGAAGGCCTGACCTGCGTCGAAACTTTAAACAAACGTAACTTTGTGCTCGGTTATCCGATCGTAGAGAAATTTTTTTTGATTCCGCATAATTTTTCGAGATCTTGCAAGCAGCAAATTTCCGTAGGCGGTTTGGTCCCGCCTTCGTCTCGAAAATATGTCGTTTGCTACTTCGAACGAGCCTTTTTTCGATTTCGTCAAACTTTGAACGACCATAACTTTGTGCTCCACAATCCGAAAATCATGAATTTTTTTTTGATTTCGCATAAATTTTTAAGGACTACAATATTTAGTAGGAGAGAATTTTCAAAAAATAAATTATTTATAGATATAAGGGATTTTGGGAATAACTTTACCTTCCTTTTCAGGAATCCAAGTACATTCCGAAAATATGTCTATGATAAAAATTTTAGTCCTTAAAAATTTATGCGAAATAAAAAAAATCATGATTTTCGGATTGTGGAGCACAAAGTTATGGTCGTTCAAAGTTTGACGAAATCGAAAAAGGCTCGTTTGGGGTAGCAAACGACATATTTTCGAGACGAAGGCGGGACCAAACCGCCTATGGTAATTTGCGGCTTGCAAGATCTCGAAAAATTATGCGGAATCAAAAAAAATTTCGCTACGATTGGATAACCGAGCACAAAGTTACGTTTGTTTAAAGTTTCGACGCAGGTCAGTCCTTCACCGCGGCCGTGTACTGCAGTGATGCAATCACTGTCTTCGTCGACAGCGGTGATGCAATCACTGTCTTCGTCGACAGCGGTGATAGCCCAAACTAACGTAGATTGGGAATTATTTTCATAACGTTTGTATTTTGAGAATTTTTTGTAAAAACATGTGTAACTTGGGATTTTTTCCACCAGTTTGTAACCTTGAGTTAACAGTCTGCATAATTCCTGCACCATTTCCATCCATTGTCTAGGCCATGTTATATATGGAACCAGACTAGCCAACACTGCATTTGTGTAAGAACAGCTACAGAAAAGTTGGTCTCTAGTTTCTGACACCAGTCTGTGATTAAACCAAGGCTTAACCCTAAGTACTTTCCTCCACAATCAAGAACCTACTTGTGACAAGTATCCAAATTGATCTCCCTATCATATATTAATGACTACACCCTTTTTAATTTAACTCTTGATGACGTGGTATGGTGAATTGGCAAACTTTGGGTAGAATCACAACTTCCAAACAACCCCTAAATGAATGCTGAGTTGCTGACAAAATAACTATTTCTTTGAATTAGTGAAAAACTAAATAATCAATGTGTTAAATGTCAGATATTAATGACTAGTTTGTCAACGATCTCAAACATAAGTGACTATTTATGTAATTGACCCCTTAGAGAAATAGGACAAAAACGTTACCGAACTGGACGAGTAAGTAGATGCGGAAGTTGAGCCCACGAACTGGCATTCGATGAAAACATAGCGAATCCATTGGTGTCGCTTCCAAACTTTCCCACCCAACGAACACTGAACCTCGTCTTCTCCGCCCCCCCTTTCATTTCTCCTCCCTTCTTCTTCTTCTCCGCTGCTCCCACTCGAATTCACGCCATTCCTTTCTTCTCCTTCAACCAATTTCTCCCTACTCTCTCCTGACAATGGCGTCCGCTTCCTCTTCGCTCCTCTCCAAGGTCCCTACATCTTCGGCCAACACCATCTCCTTCTCCGCCTCCCTCTCACCCGCCCTCCCGCTCTTCCCTTCCCAGTTTCACCTCCGCCGCCACCGGAGAACCGGCAATGCGCTTAGGGTTCAGTCCAAGATCCGGGAGATCTTCATGCCGGCGCTCAGCTCCACCATGACCGAGGGCAAGATCGTGTCCTGGATTAAATCCGAAGGCGACCTTCTCTCCAAGGGCGAGAGCGTCGTCGTCGTCGAGTCCGATAAGGCCGATATGGACGTCGAGACATTCTACGACGGCATTCTCGCCGCAATTGTCGTTCCGGAGGGCGAGTCTGCTCCCGTGGGAGCCCCGATTGGACTCTTAGCCGAGACTGAGGAAGAAATCGCTGAAGCGAAAGCCAAAGCTGCTAGCGCCGGTGGCTCTTCTCCTGCTCCTGCTCCCGCTGCAGCTGCTCCAGCTGTTTCCCCGAGTCCTCCTGCCCCTGCTGCTTCGGCTCCTCCGCCGCCGCCGCGTCCCGCAGACGGGCCGAGGAAGACGGTGGCGACGCCTTCTGCTAAGAAATTGGCTAAGCAGCACAAGGTGGATATTAGTAAGGTGGTTGGGACAGGGCCATTCGGTAGGGTAACGCCTGGAGACATTGAAGCTGCCGCCGGGATCGTGTCTACAAAGCCGAATGTGGCAGCCCCTGCCGTGGCGGCACAGTCTGCTCCAGTTGCTGCTCCTAAAGTTGCATCCGCTCCTTCAACCCCTGCATTGCCAGGTTCCACAGTTGTACCCTTTACAACTATGCAATCCGCGGTATCCAAGAACATGCTGGAGAGTCTTTCCGTGCCCAGTTTCCGAGTCGGGTATCCGATCACGACGGATGCTCTTGATGCCCTCTATGAGAAGGTATATCGTGCGGATCCAAATCATTTCATGATTATGTTTTCCTTTTCTGTACATGCCATTCTTAGTTTGTTTCTAGGGACAGGAATGAACTATGAAGACTAGCTCTGTTTTCGTGAGAATTCTTGCACAGTTCAACCTTGACTAGTTTTCTTTTCCTCACCAACACCTTACATCTCCTTTCTTTTAGAATACTGTAGAGAACTCTGAACATTCAACCTTTCATTTCAAGTGAGACATAGATTCAGACTATATGGCTGGTTGGGGATAACAAGGGACGTTTCTGTTAGTTCTTGTGTTTGAAATGCTTGTCATAGTTGAATCATAGCAAGATGATGATATTCTTTGGGTCATTAGGTGAAACCGAAGGGTGTGACAATGACTGCGCTGTTGGCAAAGGCTGCCGCAATGGCACTTGCTCAGCACCCAGTTGTTAATGCTAGCTGCAAAGACGGAAAGAGTTTTACTTACAACAGTAACATTAACATTGCTGTGGCAGTGGCAATCAATGGCGGGTTGATAACTCCTGTTCTTCAGGATGCTGATAAGGTTTGTGCATTTCTTTTCCTTCCTATCTTAGGGATTAACTATTGTAATCGGTGATGGGAAGCTGATAAGATTAAGTTGGTGAATTGTTTTGTTGTAACAGCTAGACCTTTATCTACTGTCCCAAAAATGGAAAGAGCTTGTGGAGAAGGCCAGAGCTAAGCAGCTTCAGCCCAATGAGTACAATTCAGGTTTGCTTTCTGCTTATCATTCTCACGTGTTGGAATTTTGGTTCACATTCTAGGATATAGTTGAGTAATAATGGTTTTGTAATTGTCCTTGTGCAGGGACTTTCACTCTATCCAATTTGGGAATGTTTGGAGTGGATAGATTTGATGCCATTCTTCCCCCTGGCCAAGTGAGTTCTAGTGCTCACTGCTTTAATTGACTCAAGTAGGGGTTTTGAGGTTCTAAAACCAATCTGCTTTAAATGTATTTACAGGGTGCTATCATGGCTGTTGGAGCCTCAAAGCCTACTGTAATCGCTGATAAGGATGGGTTCTTCAGTGTGAAAAACAAAATGCTGGTGAGTTTTATAATCAAACAGCCATGACTATCACTTATTGCGTAATGTTGATTTCTATGCTTTTACACTTCCAAGAGGGTTGGTGAGAATTATGTAAACTGTTGAACATACTGCCCCATACAGCCACATTGGAGTTGATAAAATTCTAGCATCTGGGATCCGTAGCAGTCAGCATTTTATTAAGTCTCTAGTTTAACAATTTTGACCGCTTACATGATCCACATAAATTGGACTGTTTGTTGCCTGACATAGTTGCTGCTGCAACGATGGAATAGAGAAGACAAACCTAACTTGCATTCATTTTGACTTTAGCTATGCGGTTATTTACTATGTAGCTGCCCAGCGCCCCGCGGAACTAGCACCTCGTCAAAGTTCTGATAAATTTTCATTTCTGCTGGTGTTTTTGATTTCTAGTTTTTAATGCATTAGGTTTCTATTGCTGCATGACTTGGTGAGTGCTTGTGTCATGGAGTTGCCAGGAAGAACATGGCACCATGAAAATTATGCAAGTTGCTAGTGCATGATTTTGCTGTCAAAAGTAGGGCTACTTGGCATTTTATGGATATTGTTAGGATATGCTTTCACTCTGTTAGAGTCGCACTTGAGCCCTTATTTTGCCAAAAAGACGCGCCATTGTGATCTGTGAACATAAATTAGGTCTCTGTTGGCCCTGCGCTTGGCATTAGATAAGGACCTTCGAGTTACATGTCTGTTCACCTTAAATACTTGGTTTGCTTGTTCACTTGACCACCCTAATTCACTTTTGACTCTAATGCCAGAGTACTTGGTTAGTTTCAGGTATGTAATGACTAACTACTTTAGGAGCTTGCAATAAACATCTTACATTTGGACCTCCCAATAAAACTGGTGTATGTGCCATGCCAATAGAATATTCACTTCCCCTTGCGAACAATACTGCTAAGCTCGTTGGTAGGATGCGATATGAAGTTCAATGATTTTTGTCTGTCTTGCAAAGTATGGCAGGGTTACCAGCCAGTTATTGTATATATATAGTTAGGACTAAAGCAATCCAGCTTAAGAAGAATGTAATACCTTCTTGAATAAGATTACAACGAAATGAATATGCCTGCGTCCTCTTTCCATTCTCACTCTCTGTTTTTCGCATTTCTTTTTCTTTGCATCTTTTCCTGGGTTTCACCGGTATTTCAAATGTAAGTAACTAAACCGATACTTCTGTTTGTGTTGCAGGTGAATGTAACAGCTGATCATCGGATCGTGTACGGTGCTGACTTAGCTGCCTTCCTCCAGACATTCTCAAAGATCATTGAGAACCCTGAAAGCCTCACTATGTAGACAAGCCCTAGCTGTTACGAGCCGATAGATTTCAATTAATTCAATCACCTGGCGAGATAGAGTATCTATTCGATTTGGATTGCTGTAAGCCTGTTGAAACCTGCTTCTTTCTTTCCATCTTTTCACTGCCCAGTTTTTACTAATTGTAATATCGTCATTCATTTTGTTTCTGAGCTGAAAAGGGTGTCTTACACGCACTCGGCTGTTGTGTTAAAGATGACAATAAAAATGATCTTGAGAGTTTCATAGACAGCCTATTCAAAAATCATTTCTTTCTGAGTTCTCTTGAAACAACCTTGCAAATATTGCTTTCTCTGCAGACAACTAACTGTTCTTATGTACACACAAGTTACATATGATATCGGTTTTGTCTACAAAAAGATTTGAAGTGATTTTGTTTACAAAAAGAATCTTAAGAGTCTAATATGGTGAAGAATGTGGTTTGCAAGTTGCAACCAGTTACAGGTAGTAAAAATACAACAAATTTGCCGAAATGCCGGCCGACGGAATGGTCAGGGGATTGAGTTGCTCTGTTTTTGAAGCAACAGGGGAGAGAGCTAGCTGCAGCCATTCAAAATTCACAAGAACTTGTGGATGGGAAGTTAGTTCACCAATCCAAGGTGATATTCCTGGAAGTGTAGAGCCTGTCGATGTACTGGATCACTGGAAGCGAAGCCTGGATGTATCGATTCATCTTCTTCTCCGCTGATTGCTCTGCAAACAAAGAACACACATTTCCACCATATGAGAAACAGAGACTTCACCACCAGAAAGAAAGGTTTCATGCAGGAAAAATCAGAGAGAATTCGTGTTTGTCTCACTTACCATCTTCTTCCAGCCTCGCCAGAAGCTGCTCCCGCGTAGGAAGCGTGTACATTCCTGCGTAAACCGCGGTCCGTATCGCCCAGGTGTGGTAAGGAGCGCAGATTTGCGCGTAAGCTGTGGTCGCAGCATCCTTCAACGAATTGTCGCTGCAAAGCCATGAATGAATCAGCCACGAAAGAGAAAGAAAGAAAAACACAGCATCACCGGCGAAGGAAGGAAGATCAGGAGCAGCTTACTCGGATGCGAGAAACTGTTCGAAGATTCCCCTGATTAGGTCGAGACCTTGACGAACTCGGCGCAAGTTTCTCGAATGGCTGCCCGCAGTTCTCACCGTCCCGTTGGCGGCATCCACATCCACCACATTCTGCAGATTCTCGAACGTCTTCGACGCTTCCACCAGATCACGCACCTGAATCAGAAGTCGAAGAAGACGATGAGATCAGGCAATCAACCGAATCGCCGGCAAAATTGGAGGAGAGAGAGGGAGAAAGAGAATGGACCTTGGCGACGTACTCTGTCTCGGCGAATTTAAAAGCGAGACCGAGGCAGCTGAAGAGAACGGAGACCAAAGAGCATGCCTGACAGAAGGAATCCAATCGAAGCTCTCCTTCTCCTTCTTCTTCTTCTTCTTCTTCCGCTACCTCTTCTCCTTCTACTTCTTCCGGCGATTCCGCGTTCTTCTTTCTCCTGGATTTTCTCAAGTTATCCGCCAGCTCCTCGAACGCCTCCGCCACCTCGGACAAGGCCGTCTGCGTCCTCGTCGTCTCCGCCATTGCCGTCTGACTCTGAATTGTGGTGGTTGTTGCCTGACCCTGGGTGGTTTCCTGGAAAAACTGGTCGGAGTCGTAGCGGCTCTTCTGCATCGTCGCTGATTTCGGAGTGGATGGGGCCTGAGATCTGAACCTGTCGAACAGACTCATTCAGACCAGGGAAATGGAGAAGAAGGGAAGGTGAAAAGGCGGGGGGGAAGAAGAAAGCGCAGAGGCAAAAGAGGGGTTGCGTAATTTCTCCTTTGTATTTGGATCTCCGCCACCCGCCCTTCTGAGGTTTTTTTTGTTCTTGTTTTTCCTGGCCTCAGGTGGTTTTGGGTCCTTCTAGCGGTGGGGGAAGGAAATGTCAGTTACTTGGGTTGGAGGGTTTGTTAGTCTCGCTCCGAAATAGGAGGAGGAGATGAAAGGGAATAACGTGTTGAGAAGTAAACTCCTATTTTGGGTCAATATTGGGATGACCAATCATGTCCCTTTCAATTTACCATTTGGTGAAAGACACCGTGTTTGTAAAACGATATCGTACAGGTAGTCTTATCAGAGTTTAAATTGATAGATGATTTGTAATGGTATGAAACGGTTGAACTATTGTTTAAACATTAAATATTTTATTGTTGACTTTTTTTTTGTATAACCTACGGTACAATTTTACAATTTTTATGAAATACTGCCAAGAGTATGATGGTTATATTGAAATTTTGATTTGATTCGTAGACTCGTTTGGGACTATATATCTATCACTATGATTTCCTACATCTCTATTCAAAACATAAACTACCCAACATGCATTTAGAATATCTTAGGTAAGCCTTGTGTTGGATAAAAGTTGTGAGTTTAAGTTTTTGTGATGAAGATTTGACATCTTGGATAGAACTATTTGTCTAATTTTATACATATATACATATAAGAGATATAATGCAATATGAGATGACGGAAAGATGGATGAGGATTGGGGAGGTAAAGCAATCAATACATGAATATGAGCAGATCGTCTGGATGGGAGATTTTTATGTAAATTTTAGATTAAAAAATTTAATATCTAACTTATTAGAAAATAACACGAGAATTGAGATTTCGGTTCAATTTTCATATTTGTAGAAATTTAAAACCAATACCACCATAATGTCTTTTTCAATTCCCATAATTCCCCCCAAACCTCACTTCTATTAATATTTGAAGTCAAATCACACATTTTTCGATTCATGCATACAAACGACTCGTCACATAATTGCCAAGTAACAACCCTTTGAAACAAAAACATGATCTCCTTTATCTTTATCTAATGAATTAATAATTCACTTTTCAAAGTTGTATCACACCATTGGTGTTGGATATTCGGTTATCCCGACTATACTGCAAGGGCATATTTTAATCTCTAGGCATTGTAGATTTTTTAGCACCAATGTATTCATTTTTTGATTGGTCGTTTTGCAGGCGAATCGTGTTTTAAGGATAACTCAAAACCTTACTCGCACGTGAGGGCCATCTTGTAGGTTTTTCTAAAGTGTCATTTGCATCTGTATCGTGTCTTTTTCTCTTCGAAACTTTCATAGAGTTGTCTGTATAGTAGAAAAAAATGCTCTTTCATTGATAGTTCGGTTGCTTTCGGACTACCGCATGTGGTTAGAGTCTATCTTGTAAGTGAGTCTATTTGGTTGTAGTTATCGTTCTGCGGTGGGTGGGTTGCAATTTGTTGGTTGGCTTAGCTTTTTCATTTGAGTTAGACTTAGTCTTTTTTCCTTCACATTAGTTCAAACTCTCTATCAATTTTCCTATTTCGTATTGAAATGATATTTTTCCTTTAAAAACCCCGCTTGGCAGTGTAAACGACAGTGTTTTGGCTACAGATTGACAGCCACGCAATGCAGTTGAGGGGTCTACAGATGGGCCGAGCGTTTATCAAATGGCACTGGGGTTCAATTGGGTAGGGACGGGTCAGGCCTTCTGTGGGGGATTCGGATCTGACAATTGGATTTGATTAGGCCTAATTAGGGATGGCAAATTCGACTTGACTCGTTTTATCAGACTTGTTTGACTTGCTTTGGGGCGGGTCCGACCCGTCCTGTAGGTGGGGCGGGGCGGGCATGAGTACCTTCCATCGACCTTACCTGCCCCGACCCGCCCCATTCTTGACTCGTTCTTTCCTAAATTACATGTAATATTAGTCCAATTATTTAGGATTTCCTTTTATTACCTCATATTTTAGCTATAATAAACTTGTAAATAAGTGAAAACCTTAATTTCTCCAATAATTTAACTACATTTCATCATATTATGGTTTCTTTCTTGGTTTTTTAATGAAAATAATGAATATTTCTAATGTTTTTCCACATAAATTAGATACCCATTGGGTCGACCTGCCCCGACCCACGCCCCGTGATAAAATACCCGACCTGAACCTGACCTGCCACGGAGCGAGTATGGATATCGAGATACCCGGCCCGGCCCGGGCCTGCGCCATTGCCATTCCTAGGCCTAACTTCTGAGTATTTTTTTGTCAGGGCAGAATACTCTACGGATAATTTGATTTTAAGTTAAGGGGTCATTTGATGTTAAAACTTAAAAGTGTTGCCCAATAATATACAAAATTCAAGGCAAGTATCTGGGCACCAAAAATTCTCCCTGCCTGTTAGATGATACCAACTCACCAGTAACATAACTGTCTATTCATTCACTCATCACTCATCAGGCATGATCCCTTGTATACTGGATATATTAGAGTGCAAAAGACTATCAAATCACCAGCAGCAGTCCTAGAAACAAAGATGGGAACCAAGAGAAGAAATGTTCAGTCTCGTTCATCTTCCCTCTTAAGAAATGTCACATCATAGCACTTCCAAACTGTTACTGAAATGTCATTTACGATTACGATGATGATGATATTCGATCAAGAGAGGAACCCGAGAAAAAAGACAGCGGACAAGAAAAACTGAAGAGAAGAAAGAAAACTGTTCTCTATGGGGGCGGGGGGCATTGAACAGGGCGGGGAATTGCTGATAGATCGTTTTTTCCAATTCTAAAATCATTCCTCGAAGTCCTGCATGTGGTCTAAAAGATAGTTGGCAGCCAGTTCCTCGTTCTTGTTGCAGGCAAAGAACACCTCCAACACAATTTGTGGATCGAATCCCATCGCTTCAAGCTGAAAAGAAAGAAAAACCAGGTGATAATTCCAATATCAAATGCAAACCGTGCTTCAAGCTCAGATCGTGCAATAGGAATAAGCATAAAGGGGTCTTATTGATGCTTACGCGGCCTAGTGCTTCACGCTCTTCAGGAGTTACTGTAACAGACTGTGGCATAGCAGCAGCAAGCTGCCCCAATATGCCGCTACATGATCAAATAATAACCAACCACTAAGTACAGCGTAAACAGTTGAACAACAACAACAACACAAAAGCAAACACAGATTCTTACGCCTCTCCACCCTCAACAGGTTCGTTGATCAGACGAAGGAAGTCTGCCTGATGGTCCTGAATCAGTCTCATTAGATGAGGATTTTGCTTCCCCAATTCTTGGAGCATGGGCTAAAAGATACCAACATTACCAGTGTGAGTAATGAATATATCTAGAACGAATAGCTAAGAGTTCAAACTTATCCAATAAGTTAAGTAGTAAACCTGCAATATCTGTGGATTAGCTTGCACCATAGCTCGCAAGGCTTGGAACTGGCACGCGAAAATGAAAACAAACAAGAAAAACAAAATTCAGTTATTTTAGCATCAACACACACAGAGCAAAGCAGGATATATGCACAACAAGGAAGGAAGAGGAAGAGACCTGTTGACTGTTTCTCAAGAAGTCCAAAGTTCCTGCACCACCAGCACCACCTGTGGCAGCAGCGGGAAGGCCCTTCACGGATAAAAATTATGAAACAATTATAATTTCCAAACATTCCCAGCTGTTCGAACTGTTCTTTGATTGACAAACTACTACCTGAGGGAAGAGGTCCAAAGGATTCGCATTGGGTCCTGCAGCTGGAACCGCAGCTGGTGCCGCAGCCTGTGGAACTCCTCCCGGTGCTGCTGCAGGATTAGCAGGTTGTCCACTCACAGGAGCTTGTGGTACTGGAGCAGCAGGCTCAGCTTGCTCAGGGATGCCCTGAAATTGGTTACTTCAGAAGTTTGAAGACAGCGGAAATATAGAGAAAGCTAGTCTGGATGCTACAGCCAGAAAGTTCTATCTCGAAGAAAGATCTAGCTAGCGAATCACAGCCATTTGAAACGAAAAAGAGAAAATTTGAACTGATCATTGCAACATTCATTATGTTTGACCACTGGTCCACAACAACAAGGCTAAAGTCATTGAGAATGATTATCTCATAAGTTTATCACATAATGACTATCTAAGAATAACTGGAAGCATATTTAAGGACAAGAACTAGACCAACAAATAGCTCCCACATACTATCATTTTTCGTGGAAAAAAATAATAACCAAAACCTAGTCCAAGCGTACCATCATTCTTTGGGGGGGAATTTTGTATCCAAACCTCAACGGTCACAGGTTAATAATAAATCGAACCTCTCGTTCAACAAGGATCATATGATCAGGAAAACCAAAGGACTCATAATCGACAATACACAGTGTAGCAAAATCTATGTTACACATTGTTGAATGACCAAATTCACAATTCAAAAGGGAAGTACCAAGAAATAAATAATAAATCTAATAAACATCAGACTGCCAAAGAGCAACAGCAAATACTGTTATCCATCATTGCAGGGCAAGGCGGGGCAAGAGGATGCCACAGCCCCAAAACAAAGGATTAAAGTTTCCTTAAAAGCCACTCAGTGTGATTCCGAGAATCAGTTAAAATGTCAACAACTTTGTCATTGCTATAGCAACTTGTGTTGTGAGCTTAAGCTCATGAAAAAGGATTGCAATACTTACAGAGTACAGATATTCAACAGCTCTCTCAGGATTATTGAACGCAGCCCGGAGAGCACGAATAACAATTTCTCTATCCCAGGTGCCTCCACCCATGTCAAGGATTTGCTGGACTGCTCCTTCCAAGTTATTCCCAGCCACCAATGTAGATGCTGCTTGACCATAAGGATCAGCATCAGACCTGAACCATCAACAATTTTGTTCAGAACTCAAATAAAAAAAAATCCAATGTCAAAATGGGTGTTACGAACTTCAACAAATCTATAGATTACAGTTACAAACACCACTTGAGAGCAAGAGGCAGGGAAGAAGATTCAAACAGCAGCTAGTAAAGAGAATTGAGAAGACTGCCAAATTAAAACAACAAACACGACTATGAGCAACAGAAGTGAGATACTAACGTGGCAGCGACTACAGAGGTAGGAGCAGCTGCAGGTGCAGGAGCAACCAAAGGAGCTGCAGCTGGAGCTGGAACTGGGGCCGGAGCCGAAACCGGAGCCGGAGCTGGCCTGACATTAGAAAGCAATTCAAAATATGAGTAGAGCATCTTTAAGATTTAATGAATACACATCAAGATATGCAATATGTACTCACGGTGCTGCTACAGGAGCTTGTGGTGGTATTGATGATGGGGCACTGGTCTGAGGTGCCTATGGAAACAACCACATACCAAATATCTTGAATGATTAACAGTGAGGGGTTACCCAGGAAGAACATACAATGCAAAACTAAAGACAACGTAAGGTTATGCACAAAGAGGTAGGCTATAAACCAGAAGCCCTGAGACAATCAAAGCATCAAGTAAATGTAATATTGCAGAGGTACCTTTGCTGTTGAAGCATTTGAGCCTTCAGCAGAAGAGCTTTTCTACATGATCAAAGCGAAGCACTAATTTAGAACCATTAAGCTGAAACTAAGGACAGGAAGCAGAAAAAAAGTATCAAGCAAGACGGAAAGTGAATCCACTTATGTTATCCCACTGATCTCACCTTGTTTACCATGACAACAACAAAGCTATTTTCAGCAACTTTATTTTCATCCAATGTTGTTTCATCCTTAAGAACCTTCCCCTGATGGATAAGCATCAGTTGTCCAGCAGGATAAGTGTCTGCCCCTTGTGCAGATTCTATGATCTTCTTAACATCAACGACCTAAATTTAGCAACCGAAAAGTGAGGATCATGACAGAAAGACTGTAAGGGGCTTCCAAGAGCAATATAGAGACTTGTAAAAGGAATCCACAGGACAATACATGCTCTAGTACTACGAAGATGGTTCCATGACTATCTACCCAAATCTGACAATCTCAAGTGCTAAGTCAACAACCTAGTGCCAATTGGAAAAGATTTACTCGTTTGATTCAGATTAGTGGCAACTGGCAAGATAATTTAAGATGCAAAAGTTTTCATCATCTTCATCATCACATTAGATAGGCAACCTTACTCCCGCCGCCCTTCAGGCACGCACTACCGTGGCAATATAAACACAGGTAAGAGTCTAATCAAGACTCCAATACAATAAGCACAAAGGAAAACAATTTGTCTGCAGCACGTCACAACCACCACATCCTTCACGGCCAGAATTGTCAACCATTATTTTGCACGGAAGTAGTTCAACTACTCGGAAATTTAGAAAGTCAATCGGGGAATCATGGTTCAAACTCCCCCTCCTGAATTCAGCAAAATTGAATTTCATGCTTGAGCAAACAGCTTGAATCACAATGATAATGGCAAACACTCAAAAATCCAAATCAGTTCTCGGTTTTCAATTTCGAGACGGAAATCCAACTGCAGAAACACCAGCTAATAAGGAACCCTAAACTTTTAACCCAGCGCGATTACCGTGTCTTGGGGCTTGACTTGAATTTCGAAGGTACTCCCCTTCAAAGTTTTGACGAATATCTTCATCGCTTCTTTAGTCTCTGACATCGCCGCCGCCTGCGCCGCCGTCGTCTTCTCCTTCCGTTTACCTTCTCCTTCCCGCTGCTTCTTTCGACTGGTAACCTCCGATCTCTGTGACCCCGCACACACTCTCGATTTCACTCCCAACTTTTCGTGCCTCTCGCGATCCCCGAGGGATTTTATATCCTACAACGCACCTCTGTCGAAGTCGCTTATCATCGCAACTCGCAAGTAAGGAATGACTTGGGGGTATTTTCGTCAGATCAGGTAAAAAGTCGCCGGGCTTTGGAATTGGATTTTGACTCTGGATAAAGAAGGCCCGCGGGGCATTGACACCTAAGTTCGGCTGGTGGAAAGAGGGTGAGATACACCACGTGGCCGAGTTGAGTTCGTCTATTGGACGATTGAAAATTTGAAGAGGTTTCTAGACTTCGTTGAGTAGGAGAAAAGAGTTGCAATTTGTTGATAAATGAATTAGAGTTCGTTTGGATGGGTGATTGTATTGAGTTATTTGTGCTCAGATAATTTATTTTGACTAATTTTGTGGGTTAATTCAGAATACCGCAAAAACGCGGTAAATAGAATACATGGTGGGGGGCAATTATTTTGACAATAACTCGTTTTGACATTTTTTTATCCCCAACGTGTCCCTGACCCCATGATCAGATAGCGAGACCAAGCTCTTATTCCTTCTTCTGTGTTCTCTTTCTTCTCAAAACCTTTTTCATTTTGCTGCTACAACTGCTTTGGAGCTCGCGAATGGGACGAATCGACGATCTCCAGCGTCGTCTGCTTGGTAGTCAAACGAAGCGGCTATCTCCATCGACGGTACAACAGCTTGTGAGGTTTGTGAGCCCTCGTCTCTATCCCGACGTCATTGATTTGTTTAGGGTTTTAATCCAATCTCGCACACAATCACCCATCCAAACGACCCCTTACTGATTCTTGTGATTGAGGGGTTGTTAGTTATATGATTAAGTGGATGTCGGTCATTCATAAGTTTTAATTTGGTGTTTGTAACTAATCTCATTCAATGAATGATAAGGTAGTAATTACACATTTTATTTATTTAATCATTAAAATTAAAACAAAAAAGTGGATTCGGTGGATTGAAATCTAACCCCGAGAAGTGTGAACTTTTTTGTATAGGGCTTCCAATCGAGTGGCAGAGGCAGATGGCTCAAAGAGCCGGTTATAAGCTAGGTTCCCTTCATATTAGATATCTAGGATTACCTTTGATTCCTGGAAAATTATCAATCTCGGCTTGTAAACCTTTGTTGGACAGAATCACAAGTAGCATTCAAAGTTGGAAGTCTAAATTTCTAAGCTGTGCAGGGAGGTTGCAACTTACTCTATTTGTTTTAGCTAGTATGACTCAATTTTGGATGACAGTTTTTATACTTCCTAAGCGAGTAAATCAAGAAAATTGAGAGACTATGCAGTAATATTCCGTGGGGAGTAGGCCCATATGGAAGGAAGAGGGTTGTTGCTGCTTGGCACTATCTAACCTTCCCTAAAAAAGGTGTAGTGGGTCTAAGAGTTGGAATTTCTCTTATGTGAGTAGACATATATGGATAATCCTTTTGCAGCAGGGGTCACTTTGGGTTGCCTGGATCGGAGAGGCTAGAATTAAGAACCATGATTTTTGGACCTTTCAATCCAAAGCTGGTTCTTGGATTTGGTTGAAACTGCTTAAAAACAGGGATAAGATTAGCCAGAAAATGTCAATGGTGAATGGAGAGGTTTGCTAGCTCGGGAAAGTGATGAAGAGATTCTGTATTAAGATTGTTCGGAGGAGTTCAAACCTAGGGAAGAGCATGTTCCTTGGTTTTCTCTTGTGTGGAAACGACCTGCTATTCCACGAAATCAATTCCTGGTATGGATTGTGATAAAGAATTATATTTCAACTGGAATGAAAATGACAAGTTGGGGAGGTGCCAGCTCTCTTGCCTGCTCCTTTTGTGATTGTCCCCTTGAGACTCGATCCCATTTCTTTGCAAAATGTGTTGTGTATAAAGAACTATATGCAGGGCTGTTGGCTTCTGTTTTTCTCAAAACACCATCAGGTACCTGAGAGGAAGAGGTGAAATGGGCTACTAACACCCTCAGAGGAAAAGCTATAAAGATGAAGGTGGCACGAGTGATTTGGAAATATATAATTAGCTCAATTTGGCGTGAGAGATGTGGGATTAGGCATGGTGGAACGAGACAGAGTTTCCCAGCAATGATTGCTCAAATTCATAAGGATGTTTCCATGATTTTGAAGAAGATGATGTAGCAGGTTTTTGGCCTAGTTAATTGTTGCTTTACTCTTGGCTATAGCTATGATTGCTCATATATATATATAGTGCCTTCTACGGTACCCTGGGTGAAATCCGGGGTACCGCATACCTTGAGTATGAAAAAGCTATCTAGACCTCGAATTAGCAGGATTTTTGGGCATGATACTATACCCTAACCCTTATTGAGTGAACCCTAGGTGCTAATTATCTAAATCATAAACTATAAACCCTAAGATGGTGCATTAATTTTTTTGCCTATATTTGGACGAATCATAACCGTCGATTATTTTTTCTAATTAAATTGATCTTGGAATATAAGATTTAGAGAATTAAGACATAGATTTTGATCTTTAAGGGTTAGAGTATAGTTTCATGTCCGACAGATCAGTCAATTCAAGTTCTGGATAGCGTTTTCTTACTCAAGGTATGCGATACCCTGGATTTCACCCTGGGTATCGTAGAACTCCCCATATATATATATATATATATGGGTCAGACTCGTATGCTCCAGACGCATAGCATGCTCCAGATTCTCTACACCGTTGATCTAATCCAACGACATCTATTAATTCTAATTAAATTATTTCTATTTTACTATTTAAAGATAATTAATGGTTCCATTATTTTCTTATACGTGTCATTTAGTTCCTGAACATATTTTCTCATATCTTTATGTATCATACCTAATTTTTTCCAATCATAACTTAATCCCCAATCTGCCATTGTCTCTAGATTTGTATTTTGTTTCTTCGCACAAACAAGGGTGTCGACTGTCAAGCCAACTCCAAATCACCCTTTCATGTTTCCCCTTCATCTAGGTCGGTGAACTTTCTCATCCCCCTTGACAGTCACCAAATCTATCCCTAGCAGTCCCAAATCGTCGATCACTGGATTGTTACGCATCATCCTATCCCTCTCCTCGAATAATTTTCAGTTCATCTCTCATCCTCGCCACCATATTATTCTCGACTATCTTCGTCGAGAAGTTCTCCCTCTACAGAAACTCAAGGTATGTCTCCCGCTCCGGCTGCTGTGTCTCCTTCCCTTAGGCCCCCTCGTGTCCAGGAGAAGGCGATTCAGCGCGATTCCTCAATTTGATTCCATCTAGAACCCTATGTATAGTTTAATCAAAATTGGACATTTGGATCTCTAGGAATAGTCCCAACGAAATTGGAATCAAGCTGCGAAACAACACTATTCCCAGATCAATTCACAAAAAATTATTTCACAGAAGATGGCCAAATAAATCCCCCAATTCGATCATAGACACCGTTCCTAGATCTACCGAAAATGCAGAGAGGAGAGCATCATAGTGAACCCAAGAAACAAATTATCTCCCCACATTAAGTGGGCCTCTGCTTTAGTTGTTGTTTGGATCGGAGATGAGAATTCCCGGTGATTTCTTGACCCTCCGCCGCCGGCTTCCAATTTCTTGTATAAGGGACGACGACGATGGCGTATCGAACTTTAGGCTTCAGATTTATTTACTCCATTATACAAAACATGATGATTATTTATTGTTGGGGATTGTAGTGGACGTATAATAATTTATGGGGTGTAATTAGTAATTGTAATTATTGATAAGAAATTAGTTAATTATAAATAATAATAGCCATTAGATTAGATCAACGGTGGAAAGACATGGAGCGTGCTATGCGTCTGGAGCATACGAGTCGTATCCATATATATATATATATATATATATATATATATATATATATATATATATATATATATATGGTGCCTTCTACGGTACCCCAGGTGAAATCTGGGGTACTGCATACCTTGAGTATTAAAACGCTATTTAGACCTCGAATTAGCAGGATTTTTGGGCATGATACTATTCCCTTATCCTTAATGAGTGAACCCTAGGTCCTAATTATCTAAATCATAAACTATAAACTCTAAGATGATGCATTGATTTTTTTGCCTATATTTGGACAAATCATAACCGTCGATTATTGCTTCTAATTAAATTGATCTTGGGGTATAAGATTTAGAGAATTAAGACCTAGATTATTATCTTTAAGGGTTAGAGTATAGTATCATGTCCGAAAGATCAGTCAATTCAAGTCCTAGATAACATTTTCTTACTCAAGGTATGCGGTACCCGGGATTTCACCCTGGGTACCATAGAACTCCCCATATATATATATGGCTATGATTGCTCATATATATATATATACACACACACACATATATACACATATATATAGCTTTGATTCTTGGGTGAAATCCGGGGTACCGCATACCTTGAGTATGAAAACGCTATCTAGACCTTGAATTAACAGGATTTTTGGGCATGATACTATACCCTAACCCTTAATGAGTGAACCCTATGTCCTAATTATCTAAATCATAAACTATAAACCCTAAGATGGTGCATTGATTTTTTTGCCCATATTTGGACGAATCATAACCGTCGATTATTGTTTCTAATTTAATTGATCATGGGGTATAAGATTTAGAGAATTAAGACCTAGATGTTGATCTTTAAGGGTTAGTGTATAGTATCATGTCCGAAAGATTAGTCAATTCAAGTTATGAATAGCGTTTTCTTACTCAAGATATGCGGTACCCCGGATTTTACTCTGGATACCGTAGAACTCCCATATATATAACTACGAAACAAGTAAGATATTGTAGTAACATATTACATACATACTAGAAAAATGAAAGAATTAAAAATATTTTACTTATTAGTGCAATGTAGTAAACTCAAAAATTAAAACATAAAGAGAGGATGCGGAGATAAGTGTATATATTTAGAAAATACTATGGTAAATAATTGAGTTTCAATTTATCAACACTAATATGTCAATAAATTACACGAATAATAATTAAAGTAAGAAATTTATGATGGAGGAATATATATTAACTATATAATATAGTATCATGGTTCGATTTGGATAACCTCGGGTTGTAACCATCCAAACCCAATCATAAGGCTACGGTTTATTAAATATAAAACTGCACCCACCCATGAAATCAAATATTTATAGATATCACAGGTGGATCGGTTTGGATTGGACGGGTGGGTCGGTTTTCGGTTTGTTTTGTTCACCCCTACTTGAGTGAGAGAGAGGGATATAATTTTTTCACAATAGCGGAGAGGATTTACCAACAATAGGAGATTTTAAGACGGAGACAACAACTTTGTGATGTTTGTTGATCTATTTTGTAATGTTTGTAAGTTTGGTTATCAGTTCGGTTTATATATTTTACAATTCTATTTTGTCATTTTGTCTCTTATGTTAGTAATATTTGTATGACTAATTAGTATATATGGTAATTTATAATGTTTATTTGTCTAGTTTGTCTTCTTTATGTTATGATTTGTGTACTTTATGTTTATTGGTTTGTAATATTTGTATTGTAAGTAGTGGTTGTTGAAGGTGTCGTCATTTGCTTTAACATTATTAAGTGACATGTCTCGAATATATGTGTGAGGCACTATCAATGGGAACAACCAATATTTGCATCGTTACTGCTGGAGCTAGGGTTCGTTTGCTTGTTGGATTTGAAAATGAAGGGTTTGAGTTTTGAAAATCTTTGGATTTAAATGAATTTTTTTTTTATTTGAAAGATAACATTGTTTTTTAGTTGAATTTTTGTCATGGATTTAGTTCATTTGGTATTTGGGTCTCAAAAACTTGCCTTCCATAATGTGGTATTTGCAAATGTCAAATGAAATGTGGTATTTGCAAATACGTGGGGTCCACAGATTTGTATAGCTCAACAAACAATGTTCTTTTATCAAATACATAATGCTTGGTATTTGGGTGCCAAATACATCACTCAAATCCCACAAGCAAACGAACCCTAAAGACTTCCACAAATACAACAAGAATTTGCGAGGTAGTATAACCGATTGTGTAAGTAAGCACTGGGTATGGATGGCGTATGGAATAATAGATTGATGCATATAATTGATGACATCCCTGTAGCGAGGTCAATGCGATTAAGATGAGCACATGATTTGGTACCGCAAGTTTATCAAAAGATAGGTAACCAAACATGGTGCCATGATCCATTCGTTGGTAAGCTTGCATCTACATATTTCCTATTTTACTTTAGTCAAGATGGAGATGCTCTCACTAAATTTGTAATGCTTGTGAATATAGAGGACTTGGTGCACGAGGATGAACTAATGTTAAAGGGAGATGAGTGATTTGAGAGATCAATTGTCTTTTTTGCGAACAACCTAGATCGCCAATATTTTGTGCGAGCGACTGCAACTGCTCGCTATAAATCAAGCAAATCGCTTCAAACAAGTATTTTGAAAAATATTAGAGTGCGTTGGGATTTGATATTTGTGATTTGAATTTCTAAATGTCAAATAATTTATTTGGATATTAATTACATTTGATATTTGGATTTATGCCAAATCATGGGGTGATTTCCAAATACATGTCTAGTGTATTACTTGTCAACTTCAAATATATTTGGACAACTAGTGATTTGAAATACCTCATAAAAAAGATTGGACCAATATGTAAATTTTTTAAAGTTTAGGTACTATAGTGTGAGAAAACATATAAAGGTACCAAAACGTACTTTTACCATCAAAATTTTTGGACTTTTTTGTAAAATTTTAAAAGTTTAAGTACTAAATTGTAACAAAATAAGTACCAAACTATCATTTACCAAAATTTGTTGTAAGTGACCAAAATTTAAAAATTAAATAAAAGATTATAAAATTTAAAATACAAACAATACAAATGAGTATCAAACAACAAATTATTTCAAATACATGCATTTCAAAAGGTAATATTTCAAATACTCATTCAACGGAAAAAAAATTTTTAAATACTTTACATTTGAAATACACTTGTGAAAAAATGTTTTTCAGTAAGTGTTTTATTTTGGAAAAAATCTCTTATTTGCCAAACTAGGTCAAACCGCCAAAATAACGGGTAAATTGCAAGGTTGGTCACTGAAATTACTAAAAACGTCCATATTTAGTCACTGAAAATATTTAATTCCATTCGTAGTCACTAGATTTAGTAAAACAGTTCGAGTTTGGTCACTCTCCGTCCAACTCCGTTAACTTTGTGTGATGTGACAGTCAACTCTTATAGTTGACCGTTACATATATGATATGGCAATTAAAAAATTAAAACAAAAAATAAAAAAATTCCACTTCATTATTTCCTTTAAAAAATTATTATTCGTTCTAATTCTCCCCGCCTCACGAACTAAGCTCATCCCTCATTCTAAGACCCGAGATTTCTAGCCCTCACAAAACTCAAATCGTGGCCGCGGCGGCGAAGTGAAAGGATGGCGAGCAGATGGAGGGTTGGTTGCGCCAGAGCAGCGGTAGATGGAGGGTCGGTTTCTGGAACCACAATAAGCCGATCTTATAAGAAACAACGATGCCGAAACCTGATCCGTCGCCGCCGCGATTTTCCCAGAAGAGGCTTTCCCCATGGATTTCAAATCGAGAAGGCTTCCGTTGGCATCAACGATTTGAGCGTCCACTGACAACCCTAACTTCGTACCCACTGCCGCTGAAGTGCCCGCCGACGGCCACCGTGGGGCATACTCTGGCGAGAAAGCCGTGAACTTTACTCTTTTCCCAAATTGCATAGTAGAGTTCACCTAGAATAGCACCAGAGTGAACCCAGGCCGACGTCGCCTCGATATCAACCTCGATCTAAAGCAGATTGGACATGTCAAGAAGGAAGATCGAAGAATCTGAGACGTAGGAAAGTCCCTAGAAAACATGGCCGCCACTGCGGATTCTCAGTCGGTAACCGATCCTTCTTGTGCATAAAACGGTGTACTGGACGTTGGGGATACTTGCAGGCGGGACGATGATTAGAGGTTTGAGGGGGGAAATTGAAGCCGAGATTCCACTAAATCAGAATCCATCTCGCCTTGCGGGTGTCACCACTGTTCTGGCGGCCGGCGCAACAAACTCTCCATCTCCCGCTGCTCGCCATCCCTTCCCCTTCGTCGCGGCCCAGGATTTGGGATTTGTGAATTGTGAGGGCTAGAAATCTCGGGTCTGACTAAGAATGAGGGGTGTGGTTAGTTCGTGAGGGGTTAGGAAATTAAAATGAATACATTTTTATTGTTAATGGTATTGGTTAGGTGGAAATTCTAATATTAATTATTTTTATTTTTTTAATTGCCACGGCATACATTTAACTGTCAACTATAAGAGTTGATTGTCATATCACACAAAGTTAACGGAGTTGGATGGAGAGTGACCAAACTTGAATTGTTTTACTAAATCTAGTGACTACGAATGGAATTAAATATTTTCAGTGACTAAACATCAAGGTTGTCAAACCGGTTTATGCCAGTGTGCCGGTTTAGCAAGTGGAATGGTTCAACCGGTGGCACATACCGGTTTGTGCCGGTTCATGCCGGTCAATATTACAAATAAAGTTATACATACTCATATTTAAAGTTGACATTTAACGTCAATACCTAAACATTTATACTTGAATCCAACAAATAACATCAATATTTAACTTTTATACTCATAAAATAAATAATAAAATAATTTTTATCAATTAAATTCTCTAAAATAAGGTCATTTTACTTAGAGATTCGTATATCGATCATGCCGGTCATACCGGTGGTGTCACGCCGGTTTTATGACCGGTAGCGGTTGAACCCGGTACAACCGGTGGCACGCCGGCCGGCGTGACAACCATGCTAAACATGAACGGTTTTAGTAATTTCAGTGACCAACCTTGCAATTTACCCCCATAACTTATTTCAATTTTCAAACTACCCATATTTATTTCATTGCTTTCCTTGGTAATGTTAGTTGATGACTTCTGCGATTGCATCCTTTAGTTTATAGTTTTTACGTCCATGGTCCCTTAACTATTTTACATTTGTCAGTTGAAGAACGCCCCTACGGTCGATCCTTTCATTTCACTTCTCCCCCTCCAGCGTCGAAACACTGGAGAGACGGGCGGTTTCAGCGATTAACGAACACGAACTTCGCTGATCTATTCGCGACATTACAGGTAAACCATGGCATGTTCGGAGCGTTGAATTCGTGTGGTTTCAGGGCTGGGTTTTACTTTCTCAATCGAGCTATGTTGCCTGGGGTTTACATTCTATCTAGACCTTGTCGAATTTATGGCGATCATGATTGTTTGTGGGTGAATTCGTGGTCTGGGCAATAAATGATCACTGTACCATGCTTGTGTAGCTCAATTTCCAAGTGGACTAATCAACTAGTACATAATCAGCTGATTCCTAGTTTTTGCTTCGTTCAGCAAGTGTTGAAATTGAAGCAAGTCGGTTCCTTTTGCATCGCCGATTGATTCTGCCGCTCTTTTGTTCCAAGTCAGAAGAGATCTCATCATCTCCACACGGCAAGTTCAGTCTCGTCATTTCAGGTTGCCTGTGCTGCCAATGTCCAATCAAATGTCTTCCCAATTGAAACTCCAAGATATGTCGCCAAGCTCAAGCATGGCAGTTCCTGTGGGCTCAGCCACCGACCACTTCCGGCAACCAGCTGCCACCGTCTTGGGCGACCCTGCTGACACCTCCACTTCGACGAGTCTGACTCAGACTTTCCACTTCTCATCTGGAAACCCCAGAATTGAAGAGACACGAGGGATCATGCATCTTTTCTGTGAAGACTCTCCTTCCCATCTTCCTGTATGCTTACTTGCTTACGCTTTTCGGATACATTTTTTTCTGTCTCCAGTGTTTCTTTTACTTGGGTTTCATTTGGTTCTGATTGTGAAAATATATGCTTTGATCACTGAATCTGATCTCGATCTATTTCTTTTGATTGGGTTGGAAGGAAACCTCTTGTTTCGGTGCTTGGGGTGCCGAACCACATGACATATGCAGACTTTTGCAAGTTTTGTGGTTCTTTTACCCAACACATATTAGAGATGCGGATTGTCAGGTAACATCAACACATTGATTTCTCTGATCTTGTTGTTGCACAATTTCTTAAATGTTTCGCGGCAATGGATTAGGCATAACAAGAACTACTAATTCATGGCCGGATGCGTTTTTGGTTGCATATGTTTTCACTTTCTTTTGTCCCCCCCCCCCCCCCCCCCCCCCGGTAATTAGTACTATTATTAAGCTCTCTTGATCAATAGATCAAATGTCGTAAAACACCTGGACAGCGTCCACAAAGCTATAACAGGTCTAAGACCTACAGTAACCTACTAAAGGATGGCAAGCTCCGCACCTCTCCTCGAAACACATTATTACCAAGAGAATATAACAAAAGATCCTGTCTAGATCGATCAAAAAGAACTGGCCAATCACTTTGACTGCTACCAAATACGCGTTGACATCGCTCCTTCCAGAGTAGACTCACTATCCAGCACCAGATTGCAGCAAACACACGACCATACGCTCCTCCTTTCTTTTGGTTTTGGTGCTGACATTGCTTCCTGCATTATAGGAATGACGAGATGGAGGATAGATATAGTATTCTGATGAGATTTCAAAATCAAGACTCGGCAGATAAATTCTACCTGCACTTCAATGGCAGAGAATTCAACTCTTTGGAGGTACATTTTATTATTACCTTAATTTGTTGACAGAGAAGTTATGCACAGAGACTGCACAGTATTTAACAATTACTTTTTGTTTCTATAGGAAGAAGTTTGTCGTGTGCATTTTACCATTGATGTCCAGTTCACTGGTTATAGTGGTTCACATGAACATGGTCAGCCTTCACCAACAAGCACAACTGAACATTCTTCTTGCCCAGTTTGTCTCGGTACGTTGTGCTGGTCTGAACTGTTTTCAGTTCATTATTTCACAACTCAATTATATCCTTCCTGTGGCACCTACTTGTGAATTTAAGGAGAAAAATGGAAAGTTCTTTCTAATAATCTAGCCATACTGAAAAATCTGAATTAAAAGGGACATACTAGATTTAAGAGTTGTAACCTTTGTGGGGTCTTGGGATCTGCATACTGAAAAGGAAAAACTGAGCAGTTTGTGCCTAAATTAAACGTGAATGCACTGTATTTTCATTCTCCTGCTTAGAGCGAGTGATCCATTCTCACCCTTTGTGCTGGTATGCTTCAGACTGGCCTCAATTTCTTCCCACGGACTTCATTGAACTCTCTCTTTGGTTAGTCTTGCATCTCAATGCCCCACTTCTCTTAAAAGTGCTTTCTGACCCTAAAGTTACCAGACTTTGGTGGCTAATAGGACTTGCTTAGCTGTTTTTATTTGTTGCAACTTGCAAGTCCAAGCAGCACATAGTTTTAATGAAACAGAATGTTTCTAAAGCATATTTGTAGGTCATCACTCCCAATTTATTTGCCCTGATTTTGACACTCGCGTTATCGTGATAAAGTCATATTGATATTGATGTGAGATTATAGCGGAGATTCCCACACATGCTATATTGATGTGGTAATTTGAACTTCAAAGCTGCTTAGACCTTTGCAGAGAGACCTATTATGTTTTCTTAGAGATGGTCCTCTGAAATTTTGTCAAATCCGTGCTCTTATACTCCCTCTATGTTACAGAGAGACTAGACCACGACATGGGGGGAATTCTTACGACCATATGCAATCATTCATTTCACTGCTCCTGCATCTCAAAATGGACAGACTCTTCTTGTCCAGTAAGTGGTAACAACTTCACTGCACTAGTTTCGCACATGATCAACTAGCCGGTAGTCAACGGTTATGTTTATTAAATTATTGATAGATACTCAGACATAGCTTTTGTTTATGACTGATGCAAATAATGCCCTTGAGAATCATACAACTTGTTCATAGATTGATAGTTGAATCCAATCTGATAATCAACAGAGAAGCCTTTCCTACCAGTTAACATTGATGGCATAAGCTAAGAACTGGACCTAGGAGCTGCCCTGATGCTTACTTTAGTGTTATCTTAACTTCCCGAACTCTAATTTGTTGTGAAGTTCACAGACCTTTCAAGTTTATGACGATCTCATTGATGTTACTTATGACTCTTTCTTTACAGGTTTGCCGATATTGCCAGCAAATGCCTGAAAAATCTGTATGTTTTATATGCCAAACTTCAGAGAACCTATGGATCTGTTTGATCTGTGGATTTGTTGGTTGTGGAAGGTATGTAACTCCCCCCACTCCCCTCGACTGCTGGACAACAGCTATCTCCCTCCTTTCATCTCCTTCTGTGCATATCCACATTTCATCATTCCTAAATGTGTAGGTATAAGGAAGGACATGCTGCGAGACACTGGAAGGAAACCCAACATTGCTATTCTCTTGAATTGGAAACACAACGAGTTTGGGATTATGCCGGTGACAACTATGTTCACCGGCTGATTCAATCAAAAACAGATGGAAAATTGGTCGAGCATACCCATTGCATGCATGCTGGTTAGGGGTGGGAAACGGTGCGGTCCGGTCCAGACCAGACCATAGATACGGTCTGTGGTCCAGACCGAGAGGTTGGAACACAGACCATGGACCAGACCATATACTATACGGTCCAGACCAGACCGCACCTGTGCGGTCCGGTCCGGTACGGTCTGGACCAGACAGACCAAGTTAAAAAAAATTAACTCTTGTTCGCCCTCCAACCCTTTGCCGGTATCTATAAAAAAAATCTACTGACCAATATGCTAGTGAAAAAAAAAAAAAATTGTGATCGTATTAAATGAGAAGAAATATGAGGATAGAAGTGGGTTTTTTCAATTTTCAAATAGCCTTATTTCCCTATTCCTCTTTGTGCTACCGCTTCTCTCCTCTCTCTAGTGATCCGAAGGTTCTCCCAGTTGATAACCTTTTTGATGCCGTCGAGGTAATTTCGTACCACTAAGATGGTCGCATATCTCTCAATAATTTTCCTTATCTCATCAAGGTGAACGAATTTTTTTGTAGTGTTTAATTTTTATCGACTCCATAGTCTAGACATTATCTGTGAATATTATTTATGAGTCTTTCTGATTTTTGTGTGGTATTTTGATGAGGAGATAACATATAAGCAATCATTTTGCAATTTGTTGGCTCTCAACTGGATGAAGAATCAACTAACTTTGTTCTTCAAATACACATATGGAGGTTCAATTTAGTGTTATTTTTGTCCAAGTTAGTAGGTAGGGTGTCGCGGTCTGTTACGGTTTACTGCGGTAGACCGCGGTCCAGACCACTTCAGACCACGCACTAAAGGAGGAGACCGCAAACCAGACCAGACCATAGTTCTGGTCTCACGGTCCAGACGAAACCATACGATACGGCCTGACACACGACAGGCGCCCGCAGGCAGTGGTCCGCCAGCCAGTGGCCGCCACCTGGCTTTTGGTGCTTTATTCTTAAGATCTCTTCTCTTGTTTGGGCCCAAGGGCCACTAGTGGATATTGACTCTTATCTTTTGGGCCTTGCCCCCCAACTCCTTCTTTGGGAGCCCAAACTCCTAGTTTGCTGGCAATACCCCCAACAATTGCCCCCCCAGTTAGGTGCTCGTGGCTTCGCCTTCGAGCGCCTGACTGAACCTCTAGTTGTAATTCGGCCCTCTCTTAGTCATAGAGCGCTTGTCACACGGCGCGTGCATCGTGTTTTCACTTCCTTCTTGGTCCTACGGGGTGCGCTTGCCCCTCCCCTTCCGCGGGCGGGCGTCCCGCCTTTGGTGTTGTTTGTGCCACTTGCCGTATGCTCTTCCATGTGCTTCTGTGCCTCTTGGCTGATGAGGCGCCTCTTGCCAAATGGGGCGCCTTTTCGAACCATCCCTCCCTTTCGGGTGTTGGATCTTCGCCTGGGCTCACCGCTTCGCGTGTTCTCTTTCCGTGACCTTTTTTATAGGCGTCCTCTCATGATGTCGTTCTTGACGCGTGTCCTTATCCCTTATGCCACCCGCCTTTGGTGTTGTTTGTGCCACTTGCCGTATGCTCTTCCATGTGCTTCTGTGCCTCTTGCCTGATGAGGCGCCTCTTGCCAAATGGGGCGCCTTTTCGAACCATCCCTCCCTTTCGGGCGTTGGATCTTCGCCTGGGCTCACCGCTTTGCGTGTTCTCTTTCCGTGACCTTTTTTATAGGCGTCCTCTCATGGTGTCGTTCTTGACGCGTGTCCTTATCCCTTATGCCACCCGCCTTTGGTGTTGTTTGTGCCACTTGCCGTATGCTCTTCCATGTGCTTCTGTGCCTCTTGTCTGATGAGGCGCCTCTTGCCAAATGGGGCGCCTTTTCGAACCATCCCTCCCTTTCGGGCGTTAGATCTTCGCCTGGGCTCACCGCTACGCGTGTTCTCTTTCCGCGATCTTTTTTATAGGCGTCCTCTCATGGTGTCGTTCTTGACGTGTGTCCTTATCCCTTATGCCCCCCTCACCCACGCTTTGCTTGCCGGGGAAATTTGGAGAAAAGAAAATTCGAAATTCGAAATTTGGGAGTTGAGAAATATCCCCAATAAGGAAAGGGTGGGGGGAAGCTCAAGGGTCCGCCTGGGGTCTTGTGGCTCGCGAAAAGACCAAAAGGTGGGGGGAGCGGAAGGGTTCCTTCGGCATGACTGACACGTGTCATGCGATGGGTGAGTCTTCTTTTTTCTATAAATACCCCTCCTCCCTTGTGATGCTGTCACTTTCTTCCATTTGACCTCTCTCTAGACTTTTGCTCTGACTTCTCTCTAGCTTCCGCTGTGGCCTCTGTCCTCTTTCCTGTCAGTTCTTCACTTCCGACACAACGCTTTCGTCCAGAATGTCTTCTCCACAACAAGACAAGACCTCTGGCGCAGGCGCCTCGGGCGCAGGCGCCTCTGGCAATGATGGTGAAACAAGGCGCCCAGTTCAACGTGGTAAGTGGTCCTTTTCCCTTCGTCGATTTCGTTGAGTTTATTCTAGTCACCTAGGGTAGGGGCGTCACTTACCCCTTGTCCGCGTTGCGTCTGGGTCGTTTGTTGGTTTAGAGCGGGCGTCTGCTTCCTCATCAGCTGGGCCGTCAAGTTCTTCGGCGCCTGGCTTTTTGCCCGCCGACGGGTCCTACAAGATCACCTCGTGGGAGAAGTGTTTCCCACCCGATCATCTGCCCACCGAGACGTCTCACTTATCGTTCGAGGTGGCCGGGCCAAAGCACACGTCAACAGTCACTTTGGACCGGGTTCATGAATTGGTGACCAGTCTCCAGCTTCCCAGAGACTGGTGGTATGCGCCTCCATCGCCTCTGTCCCGGGTAGGCGTCTGTGCCCGAAGTGGATCGGGATTTATCAGGAATACTTCCGCTTCGGGCTACAGTTTCCCTTAGACTCGATTATGGAGGGGATCCTGACGACCTGCGCCTGCCCCCTCGGGCGCCTATCTCCCTCGGTCATCACGATCGTCATCCTGTTCAAATTGAGATGCCGAGAGCACAACGTGGAGCCCACCTTCAACTTGTTCAGATATTTCTTCAAGATGGTGCCTCTCGACAACTGTTTGTCCCTCCAGAAACGCAAGAAGAAAAGCTGTCCCTATCATTTTGTGAAGAAATGTCCCAAGTTGAACCGAAGCTGGTTCAACGGGTTTTTCTTCGTGAAGGCCTATCGAGACTCCTTCTTTGCGAGTGGAGGCGCCTTTGTGAGGAAATGGGAGTTGGGTCAGGTCGAGGATTTTAACAAACCGGTGGTTTTGACGGCGTCTGAGAAGGCCGGCGCCCCCTTAATTTGCGAAGGGGAGCCCGTTGACTTACGCCCCGCAGATAACCGTCCGCCTATTATTCAGGCTTACTATAACGATGGTGTGTAGGCGTCTAGGTGTTCTGTTTCCTCTTATTCCATTGTTTGTGTTATGGTCTAACCTTTTCTCGTCATGCGCAGGGGCGGATTACTCGAGTATCGCCAAGCTGATGAAGAGTCGGCTGGCGACTATGGCGGCGGAGGCGGCCGCGGCAGCGGCTTCATCACAAGAGGCGCCTGCTCATCAAGAGGCGCCTGCCACCCAATCACGGGCGCCAACGGCTGGCCCCAAGAAAAGGAAGAAGAGGGCGGTGAAGGGTGGCACCGCTCGGGCGCACACGGCGAGCGTGGCGTCGTCCGCACCGGAGGAAGGCGAGGGGGCGCCTAATTTCGACCCCCCGGAGAATGAGGTCAACTCCGCGGAAGAAGAAGAAGAAGAGGAGCCTTTGCTCCGAAAGGGGAAGAGGGCGGGTTCCCCCTTAGTCTCGGCCAGCAAGAGGGCCGACAGGGGAAAGAAGAAGGTGGGGGAGGAGGACGCCTGCGACGAGGTGGAAGTGGAGGAGGAGGCGGTGGAGGGCGCCCGTCTTCACCTTAATGAAGAGGGGCGCTATGTTGGCCCCGATGGGCGTCCACCCATCTTCCGGCCACGGCGTGCCGAGGTCGGACGGGTCAATATGAACTGCTCCCCCTTGGTCGCCGTTGACCGAGGGTGCGCCATGGGCTTGACGATCGCGGCCGCCAAGTCATGGCAGGTGCCGGATGAGGTGAACGGGGATCACCTCTTTGCTGAGTTGGCCCAAGTGGGCGCCAAGGTATGCACTTTCTTACTTGCGTTTTTCAGAAGTTAGGGGAATGGTTTGGTATTTTGCACGACTTGCTGAACTTTTTCTAATGGTTGCAGATCCTTCTTTTTGCTGAAAGAGGCGCCCGACGCCTCAACGAGACTAAACGGGAGGCGCTCGAGGCTTCCTCTTCAGCTTCACAGCTGAAGTTGGACTTGGAGAACGCAACTGCACGCCGCGAGCAGTTTGCGAAAGAGTGCGAGGACGCCCAGATGACGACGACCATGGAGGTGTCGCGTCTGCAGGGCGCCCTGGACGAGGAGCGCAGGAAGGTGGCCGACCTGCAAGCTGAGAAGGAGGCGTTGGCGCAGGAGGCCGGTGCCCAGGCCAGTGAGATTGACATCCTCAAGGAGGAGAAGAAGAGGCTGCATGACGCCCACAAGGAGAGCGAGAAATCCTTGAAGAGGGCCCGGAAAGAAATTTCCGGATTGCGGCAATCTTTGGACAACTTGATGGAGTCAGAGACTGGGAAGTCCATGTGCGCCAATGCCATTCTGACCGGGATTGAAATCCTGCGAGTGAAGTTGCAGAAGGACCACCCGACCTTACTTGGGATCTCTCGGAGATGGCTGAGTATGTGATTGGCGGGATGGAGACGCCTCGCGGGACAAGTGGGGCGCCCGAGCCATCTGCTCCTACCTCTCCTTCTCCAAAGGCGCCTAGTGCTGGGGACGCGAATTCGGGCGCTGACTAGATTAGTGGTCCTCGGGTTTTAACTTTCCTTTTTGTAGTGACTTTCCTATTTTTTGTGCTTTTATAATATGAGAATTTATGTTTCCTTGCCAATCGCCTTCACTTCCACTTTAACTTTCCTTTTATTGCCAATTTGTGTTTTTGGGCGCGAAATGGGGCGCGTTTCTTGTGAGGGCGCAATGTTAGGGCGCTTTTGCAAAAGGTGTGC